TTTAAGAACATTTGTTGTTCGACCTGTTAGTCAAATGCGTTTTGTTAAAATATACTTTTTCACTTTTTTGTTCTTTTGGAAAATGTTGTTTGTGCTGTTTTTAGACCCCTCTAACAAGAAATTTGTTTTGCATTCACACGTATAAAAATTGCGGTTTGTATCCAACGCAATCATAGGTTTGAAAGTTGTTTTTAATTTAGACTTGTTTATATTTTTTCGTTTGGGCTTGTATTATATTTGCCTTCGGGTTTATATGATCCGTTCATCCTATTTTGACTCCTCAAAATTCAAGAGTCTATCCTAAATTGAGGTAAATTGTATGGCTTTCCAAATACCGTTTCGATTCCTAACATCACTGAAGAGACATTAATTGTCGAAATCCGGATATGGTGTACAAAAACCTTTGCACCTTTTGTTTGCGGTATACCATCTTTTCCGCAAGTTTATTGTTTTCTGTTTAGTATTAAATTTATAATTAAGATCCATTTATTACATCGGTGATCCGTTTATTTGGCAATCGCCAATGGCAGTCAGCAGGGTTTAAGAACATTTGTTGTTCGACCTGTTAGTCAAATGCGTTTTGTTAAAATATACTTGTTCACTTTTTTGGTCTTTTGGAAAATGTTGTTTGTGCTGTTTTTAGACCCCTCTAACAAGAAATTTGTTTTGCATGCACACGTATAAAAATTGCGGTTTTTATCCAACGCAATCATACTTTATGTTTGAACGTTGTTTTCAATTTAGACTTGTTTATATTTTTTCGTTTGGGCTTGTATTATATTTGCCTTCGGGTTTATATGATCCGTTCATCCTATTTTGACTCCTCAAAATTCAAGAGTCTATCCTAAATTGAGGTAAATTGTATGGCTTTCCAAGTACCGTTTCGATTCCTAACATCACTGAAGAGACATTAATTATCGAAATTCGGATATGGTGTACAAAAACCTTTGCACCTTTTGTTTGCGGTATACCATCTTTTCCGCAAGTTTATTGTTTTCTGTTTAGTATTAAATTTATAATTAAGATCCATTTATTACATCGGTGATCCGTTTATTTGGCAATCGCCAATGGCAGTCAGCAGGGTTTAAGAACATTTGTTGTTCGACCTGTTAGTCAAATGCGTTTTGTTAAAATATACTTGTTCACTTTTTTGGTCTTTTGGAAAATGTTGTTTGTGCTGTTTTTAGACCCCTCTAACAAGAAATTTGTTTTGCATGCACACGTATAAAAATTGCGGTTTTTATCCAACGCAATCATACTTTAGGTTTGAACGTTGTTTTCAATTTAGACTTGTTTATATTTTTTCGTTTGGGCTTGTATTATATTTGCCTTCGGGTTTATATGATCCGTTCATCCTATTTTGACTCCTCAAAATTCAAGAGTCTATCCTAAATTGAGGTAAATTGTATGGCTTTCCAAATACCGTTTCGATTCCTAACATCACTGAAGAGACATTAATTGTCGAAATCCGGATATGGTGTACAAAAACCTTTGCACCTTTTGTTTGCGGTATACCATCTTTTCCGCAAGTTTATTGTTTTCTGTTTAGTATTAGATTTATAATTAAGATCCATTTATTACATCGTTGATCCGTTTATTTGGCAATCGCCAATGGCAGTCAGCAGGGTTTAAGAACATTTGTTGTTCGACCTGTTAGTCAAATAGGTTTTGTTAAAATATACTTTTTCACTTTTTTGGTCTTTTGGAAAATGTTGTTTGTGCTGTTTTTAGACCCCTCTAACAAGAAATTTGTTTTGCATGCACACGTATAAAAATTGCGGTTTTTATCCAACTCAATCATAGGTTTGAACGTTGTTTTCAATTTAGACTATATTTTTTCAATCTTCCTATCAATACTAGAAGTTTTGACTTGACTTATGAAGTAATTGTGTTTTTTAGAGATGGTTTACGTTGTATACTTAATCGCAAGATACTCAGTACAGAATGACATTAATGCCAAGTGTTATGAATTGCCCCTGTAACCACTCCCGCTTTGCACAGCCTAGTAAATCTTCTTGATTATTACAGACTTCTTTTACATGTTAATTCATAATTGTGGTTCCTTTTTTACACGAAAAGCGTAGCTCATTGAAATGCTATTTTCCTTTTTTCGATTTTGTTAATGATGTTTGGTTTGTACCGCTGTATAAGGAAGCGTCCTTATATAATTTTATTGTAGCAACTTTAAAACATTAATGATGTTATCTTCACATTTAAATTGTCCCTATCGAATATTTAAATATTTGTCAAAAAATGAATTAATTAAACGTGGTTCAGTTTGAAAAAAATCCCATTTATGCTTGCAGTAGATAATGAACCAATATCAAACATGTTTTACCTTGTCATTCCGTATGTGCCTATCCAAAGTCGAAAGCCTGCAACTCTCTGGTTGTCGTTTGTTGCTGTTTATTGTATTTTTGAGTTTGATGTTTTTTACATAATTCAGTCCACTGGTTTTCTCATTTGAATTGTTTTACATTTTGTCATGTCGGACCCTTTTATAGCTTGCTATGCGGTATGGGTTTTGCTCATTGTTGAAGGTCGCACGAAGATCTAAAGTAGCTAACATGTACTTCATTTGGTCTCTGGTGTCCCATTGCATTCATGCCACATCTCCTTATTTTATACAATGTATTTTTTGCATTTGATTTTACATAGCCCTGTTTTCTGGAAGTTCTACAGCTCATTGTCAAAACCAGAATGTTATTTCTCAATTTATGAAGAACCTTATTCAAATTATAACATACAACGTTTATGTAGGATTATAGGATTAAACCGAATCGCTCTATTTACGTAAGATAGAACGTAGTTATTGCAAGGAAGCAGCACCTGGCTGGTTGACAATCCAATAATCAATTGATTTATTTATTACATGTATTTGTGTACGTCCTTGCTTTTCAGTGGCAATCAAAATGTTTCGATCATTTTTCAGATCCACTCGCGAACAAACTGATAATGGCATGTGATGTTTAACTTCAATGTCTTACACAGCTAAAATGAGGAGAATATATATCAAGAGAGTATAAGTCGAAGAAAGCCAGGCAACACTATTGCAGAAAGAAAAAAGAAATATGACAAACGACAGTCCCGAAAAAAATTCACAGAATCCAATCAAAACCCGTAAAGATTTCAACAATGAATTGTCCTTAATTAGGTACTTCTGACACCTGTCTATTTGCTTATGTCAAAATTTGGAGATAAATAGTCATTCATAAGACTTCATATCAACGTATATTGGTAAACCTTAAGATATTACCAAATTCTTAAATAATCAGTACACGAGATTTTTCCAACCCTATAACATAACCGATTGTGACCTTTTCAAGACAGAGGATAGACAAGATTACGAACGGTAGAAATAAAACAAAACGACACGACTCCAAAACTGATATCACAAGAGTGTCAACAAAGAGTGGAATGAAAGATACCGTGTTCTTCATCAAATCTAGAAAAATGAATGAATTCAACAAAAACTACAAAAATATGTGACCAACACCAAATTCTAAATGGATAGGATACGTGGAGAAACAGAAGTAAGCATTGAGAGGGTCTTTGTTAGGAACAAGCATACTGACATGTGAGGGAGTTACAGTAATTAAGGGAACTGAAATAATTTTAAATACAAAAATCAAAGGAAAATGCGTGACAATATTCAGTACAAAGCACAGAGTAACTTTGCATTTAGAGTTCAAATAATGAAAGCAAAATTAAGTAATAATTTTATTCGTGTTTGAAACCGTATACTGAAAAAAACGTAATTATCCTCTAACACCAGAACATTTTCAAGAAAAGACGCATACTGAGGTATTAAAAAAGTTTTGTGAATTGTTTTCCATAAACAAAATAGTGGCTCAAAAGTACTAGTAAGTAATTACTGATACATATACAAGATGTATACGTCCTCTAGTAAATATTCTGTTATTTGCAACTGCCAATTTTTAAGAAACAAATTTAAATAGGTGATTGCTTTCGGAGAAGTCACGATTAAAAATGATAACTGTTTTGTAGATATTGCAATTTGCTATTAAAAACACCGCGATCCTCCTACGTAAAACAAGTAGTGCGTAATGGCATTACATATAAGACTTTTTAGGATAATTTACTGTCATTGAAATCAATTCATTGGTTGTTGAGTGGAAATTATGGATACAACCTCGTAAATATAGCAAAATCAACTGAGTTTATATACTCACCAATTCGGTTAAATTGGGTTTTCCTTCATTTTAAATACTTTCTGGCTCTGTACAGGTTTTTTATTGTGTGTTTTAGTTTAACGACATATAGTCTAGATAGGTAAAGATGAGCTTGTGCGCAAGTTAAACTGGTTTAACCCCATCATATTTTGTGCTTGAAAATGTACCAAGTCAAGCTATCCGGACTGTATCTGGTTCAGTGATTGTTGTTGTCTTTATAAAATAAGGTGTTGTATGATCGTTAATGAGACAACAATCCATTAAAGATCAAGGACGCGGATGAAAGCAACTATGGATCGCCGTACAACTTCAACAATGATCAAAATCCATACCGTATAGTTAGCTATTATAGAAGGATGCGGCTAAAAAATGTGAAACAATTCAAATGAGAAAACAAATGCCTAGATTTATGATATGACTATAACTATAAGTGAAAACAAATATAGCAGACAGCAACTTATGACAATCACTAAATAACAGGATACTGACCTGAGACAACCACATACAGAATAAGGTGAGGGTTTACATGTTTTTGAGGCCTTGAGACAGACAAAGTGATTACTAGTACTATATGCAACCGATTTTTTCTTTTTTCTTTTTTTTTGTGGGGGGGGGATAAAAAGTAGCGATGAAACAATGCACACAGTGTAATAAAAACATACTGCTCTTTGAAAAAAAAGTGTTATTGTGTGATTATAAATCTCAGTAAAAAAATATCACCTTGGTCAGTATGTGTAAAATGTGTATAATATTTATATTTTTCTATCATTGATTACTGCTTAAAAATAAAGGACAATAAAACACTCATTTTCAAATTAAATTGATTTAATATTATTTCCAATCTAAGCAAACAAAACATTTATTAGTAAAATCATAATACAAACCATGTACACACTTAAATACAAATCAAATCTTTACTAACAGTATCACATTTCAATAACTTATCTCATTTTTAATTAATATACATGACATTAGATATCAAAATTTAAAAGCGCTTGACAAAAGTAGTATACAAATATGAAAATACAAAACTGTAGTAGCGGCCACATTTGCCGTATAGATAGTTCAAACATGCCTCCCTCTTTGAATCATAAAAAACAGTTTCAATTAAAGTAATTTGTTTGCCATTATGGTCTTTAACAGCCAATTATCTTGCAAATAATCAATTGTAAATAAATACCATAACTAGTCTAACTATTAACAGAAACTCTACTGTCTGTCCATACTCATGAAGTCAGGCATATCCTTAATTTATTGTTTTAACATGCGATTGTTTTGCGTACATTTATACATGTGCAAAAATAAAACGCCGAAAAAGGCTATACTGAAACAATGATGTAAAAAAAGTGCATGAAGTTTTAATATATAACAAAATTAAGTGTAACGAAAATGTCTGATACAAATCTTTCCATTAGATGTTTTGCAGTTTCAAGTGATATGTATGTCATAATATATTTTGAAGTAAAACAGCATATAATCTACAACACATAAAACAAACAAACATGATTCATATAAGTTTATCATTGAAAACCTTCCACTTAGTAAGTCAGTCAGGATGGAGACAAACAACGTTTTCTATACAAATAATGCTTATAATAGGAAAAACTGAAATACTTTCCCATCATAGGCGACAGAACTAATAGTTTCTGAATTTGCTAATTTTTACAAGAAAGTTGAGTGTGATAGAAGTACTTTATTAATTGTTTTAGAAATTGAAGTCACATTGTGGCATGACGGTCTTTCTATTGACCTTGTACCAAAGTATCAATTATGATAGCAACCGTCTTTTTACAAAACATTTATGAAAAATCTGAAATATTTTCAAAAAATTCTCCAAAATATATATCCATGTGTTTCAAATATTATGTTGTAAATTTACACACCAAAACGCTCTAAAATTGACTACCTTCGCCTGAGTAGCTACACGGTACACAGAAGGGCAACCTAAAGCTAGGGAAATTAATTACTACTACTTTCCCTATACGGCAATGGCCAAGAATATACTGTAGTAATCAGAATGTTTCTCATACATATTCATCCCTTAATCTTCATACGGAGATATGTTATTGAACAAATATTAAAGTTATCATTAGTTTTATAAAAAAAATAATCAGAACAAGACTTACACGCAGTTTGTAAAAACTGCTTTAATAAGATATATATGACTGTATAGTATAAAATAATAAAAAGAAAACATGAAGTGCAGATTCGAAAAAGAAAAGATTCAAGACACCAATTAAATAGTTACATAATTTGCACAGATTCTTAGGGTAAATCAGTCATTAATGGTGAAGAAGTAAAGACTTTTCCTACTTTTAAAGAATTTATACAATGAACAAAATTTACATAAAAAAATCAACAAACAAGTTTTAATAATGTATGTGCATTTAAGTAAGTCTTTCTTATATTATATCAACAATACTTATCTCTACCAAAGGTCAATTTCATTTGAACCTTTCTGAACCGTTTAAAATAAAATCATTAACAACATGATTGTTAAATTAATTGCGTGGTTTACTGAACTACTTGTCTCGAAGACTTTCTTCAGATCAAATAACAAATAACTTATCACTGCATTATAATGTCTTTTAAATGTCAATTAAACAATGTTGCACCATTCTCAGTTGTGCAGATGTAAAAAAGAAAACCCAACATGTATTCAATATATTACAAGTATACGGTCAATAAACACATGCGATCAACTCAACAGATATCAAATTCACTTTTGTAGAATATCTGAAAACTGTTTCTTCTCAATTCCACCATCCTCAGATCTGAAAAAAATTATCAATAAACATACGTAATACTTTTAATATGTTAGTATCATATTTTATCTATTAAAAGAGTACGATCACTGTAGTTTGAAATGAGTGTTAATCAGTATGGCTACCCACGTAAAACAAACCATTCATTTTGTGTCATTTATCATTTATATAAGAGTAACTTCTCTATGTTTCCCGCTTCACCATTTGACGCAATGATACTATAATTATAGTTAAATAGAAATGACAAAACTTTCTCGTCTTTAATTGAAACATTATTTCCTGCCGAGTTATACGAATATCTCGACGGTTCCCATACATGTTAAAATGTTCGTATTGTTTCTGTATTTTCTGTGGAACTGGCGGGCAATCTATAACAGTATTTGTTAGATTGCTTTTCATACATTGTGGGATATTATACGCCAATGAGACAACAATCCAACAACACTCATTCTCCACATGACACCTCTAAAGAACAAAATCAGGTACATGTATGCCCACGAAGAATACGTATAGCAGAACGTATTAATATTTTGAGAGCAAAACAATCAAAACAGTCTGAGGTTAACTTTGTCTAAAAGCGTTGCAACCTTAGTTTTAGAACAATAAAATAATTCATGTACACAGCATAGTTTAAATCATGCCGTTACCGAGTGCCAAGAGCAGATGTTGTACGAAGTGTATCTATCGAGTTTTAAAAGAGTATGATTGTATGCTTTACGAATATCTCTGTTTTATAGATACAATGTAAGATTAGCGTTCTAACAATTTCTTCAAGCCATAAGGGAAATACGTATTTTATTTCTAGTTGTCATTTTACTCACCTTCAGAGCCTGTCAGAAACATATTCTATAATCTTGTGTGCTAGTTTTATCGCTTGATCTGCTTTTGCTTTGTCGAATTCATCTGCAGGTATACTTGGAATTGAATGACGGTCTGGGTATAACAATCCCGCGTGGTTTCCAAGTAATGTCGTCAAAGTAATGACCATATCCTGAAGTTCAATATTCATGCCAGTGACCAAATTTTCCAAGCTGCTTGAATTGGGAACGTTGTTTGAATCCATGTTGTAGTGCATAGCTTTCAAGATCTTCTCAACAGACTGGTGAAAAATAATGTTGTAATAAGCTTGATAAATTTAACGTTGAAACAAGAATGATCATAACAATATTTAATCTTGAATCTAATTTCAACTTTCTGCTACTATTAAAAAATTATTTTAAAGTCTGTGTTTTTATTTTTTGTACCCTTACACAAATTTAGGACCAAATCAAACTTTGAAAATCACTCATTATCGTGAGTCGTGTGTCATCAAATATGTTGAGTCGGACTTATCACCGACGTCATAATGTTTATCAATTTTTTTAATATCTATACTATTAAACGAGAAGACCTCATTTTTTGTGTCGCTTCTCTTCCTTCCCCAATAAATTAATCATCATGCCTCTGTGTCCTATAGGTACCATGCATAGTCGCATTTGTCATCCATTCTTATGATTATTCAGTTTGAGTTATTTTGGGAAAAAAACGAAGAAAAAGGCGTCCGGATATTGTTTCCGTCATCAGACCGACTTTTAAGTCATACCCAAAACTTCCGATTTTAAACTTTAAAAGAGGGGGTAAAGGGTTATTTTCGTGCAACGTGTTTTGCCACTTTTTATTTCACGTGCAGCCGTGAAAAAGGTTCGTTATACACCGTGTTTCTTGAAATCGATAAAAAGATCAACGTGCAAGAAATTTTTGATTGTTTGCTCATCGTGAAATGGCAATTTTATTTCGCGTTCTTCCGAGCAGATACCTCCCCCCCTTTACTCCCCTCTTTAAACATAATTTTCATAATTACTCGGGGACAGGATAATTATTATCGCATTATTCTGCATGCATACTATGATTATAACCCTATAATATATAGAGACTCTCTATATAATATAGCAGTGATCGCCGTGGAGAAGAAACTTGGAATTGATAGTTAATAGTAAATACACTTTATTTATATTGTATGTATGTTCATAGTATACAGAAACGCGAAAAACATAGAATTTAACTGAGAGCAAAAAAATAACGGACTTTGGAAAAAAGGGAGAGGGCTTAAAATAATTGTCCTGTCTCCAAGTGCCTATGACTCAGTTTGATACCTTTTCTGAAATTCTCCAGACATAAAATCTTTTACAAAAATTCATCCTACAACAGTATACATACTTTCAACCAAGCTCTAAATACCCGCGATTTCGCGGGTGTGTTCTAGTTCTTCTGATTTGACGGTGAACAAAAGACAAATGCTGTTTCCATCATGAAAAAAACACACAAGACCATTCAGATATTTAACGTCACTGTACCCAAATTGCACCGAATACCCAAATTGCACCCATTTAGCTAAAATAGCAGCGGAAGTCTTACAAGTTTTCTTAGAGAATTAAAAATTAGTTTTTTTTTTATTATTTGACATTATGCACGTCTTTCAACATAGCTAAATATATATACAAAACGTTCACGGTACATATCAACAGGTGAAGTACTTATTTTCTCCAAAAAGTAAAATCTACGGAAACGTCGCCATACGACGTCCACAAAATGTCAACTTCTAAGAATAAGCAATTAAAATATGTTACGGGCATCCGTTTCTTAAAATATGAATATTAAGCATGGACTGTTGTCAAATTGTTCTAAATATTTGAAGAAATAAAACAAAACATCAGTTATTCGATTTTCACGGACGTGAATTTAAGCATGAGTACTCCTCATTACAGAATCACGGGTCGTTTGGAGGTCGGTTCAAACCCATTTTCTATGATTCAATATGGATTCAAAATTAAATTGGTGGGACTATATAGCAAATAAGGATACTTCTACAAAATAAACACAAAATGGAAACTTTTGTTTGGATCATAAATAAACGTAGGCGAAAAAACTGTCAAAATAGGTGCAATTTGGGTACCCTCACGTTACAGTATCAAAATGTAAAAACCCTCATAATCGGTACTTGTCAAAAAACATTCAAAGGAAAATGTAGAAGAAAAAGAAGCGATATACTGGTAAAAATAATTACATGTTTTCTAAATAGGTTTAGGTCCTTCTGAAATTTTACTGCATTGCAGAGAGATTTATTGTATCACAGTATAAATTTCTTTAATCTTTATTGAAACTTAGGTATTCTTTTTGCAATAGCTAGCTAAACATAGCTATATTATTTAACTATTCATACTTAACATAACTCCTGTGTTTTCAATCCAAAGGGAATTACAACCATTTCAAAAATTAAGAACTGTTAAATTAATAACCATATCTTTTCATTACCTGATAACAAATAAAACATATCCAGTTGAAATTGTGTCCTACTTCCGCTGCTTCAAAAAAATTACTGGCTGCTGTAACGTCTCGTTTAGCTTGTTGCATCCACTGATTTGCTTCAGCTAATGATGGAACAGGTTCTCGCATTTGCCGACCAGCCGTATGTCCTTGAGCGCCACCGCCACCATTGGTTTCTGACGAGTGTCTTTCAGAATTATTAGTTGCATCATGGTCCCATGTCTGAAAGTGGGACCAAAATGCTGAATTCCTAGAAAAATCAAAGTCCTCTGTATTGTTATCTCTGATGCCGTGCCCCCTTTCTAAATTCAAAACAGCTTGTTTGATAAACTTGAATACTTCTGTTGACGCAAATTCATTTCCATGATTTTTATCTGGATGCCATTTTTTGTACAATCGTTTGATTAATTTTCGTCTTTCTTCTTCTGGTAAAGTCCATGCTGCAAGTATAATAGCTTCTACATCCTGACAAATGCTTTCCAAAGGTCTGTCGTCAGGAGAAGTATCTGCTATATCGAGAAAAGGCACAAGCTCTTGAGTAGTTTCTTGTTTATTCCGATTAAATTTGAATATATCAAATGCATGTATTTCCTGAATACGACCACGCCCTACAAGCACCTTGTACTTTAGCAACGTACTTCTGATAATAGATAATGTATTTTGGATAGGGTCGCATTTCTGTAAGATCTTGGCATAAATATAGACTGCTGGGATGTACATATCGCCTTCATTCTGTTCCTCACTCAAAAGAACAGCTACATATTCACCCTCGTGAAACTCTGTAAAACTGTTGTCTAAAAACCTATGCCAATTTTGATGCACGGTTGTACCAGTAGGTGGAAACAAAGAAGATTGGCATCTGATTGAAATAGAAAATTCTTCAACATTTTCATTATCTAACAATATTGACATGTCTTCTAATTTGTCGATCTTTAGTAGAGTTTTTACAAGCAAGCCTCCAACGTCGAAAAATTTCCTGTCGCAACAATGGGAAATTGCATAATCAAAAACACCACTATTCTCGACCACCCATTCCTTCAGTTCTGTAGCCTTTAGGGCACAATACAAAATACTGGGAGAGTCGTCTTTCTTTTGGTAATAACAAGTAACCTCTTTCGATCCTACCTTCTGGTCTCTAAACTTTAAATCAAATTCGATTGTTCGGACTTGTAATACCTGTATTTTCTCTAGGTTTTCAATCCACTTATTTACAATGTTTTCATTCAGATCCAACGCAGTTAACCATTCAATTCGTTTTCTTGCGTGCATAGCAATACGGAATACTGCTTTATGGAACTGCGAGGAACTTAGCAAAGTAGCAATTAACTGTCCTTTTTCATCTATCGGAACTAATTCAAAACTGTCTTTCAATCTTTTTTTTATCATGTTTGACAAAATGTTTGGTTGTAAATGTTTTGGCAATTTTTGAAATTCTCGTGAAAATGAACCAGTAATCCCTACTCCAAGTTCGTCAAGTCTTACGAGATATGACATTGTCATGTCACCTCCTATTTTCTCCTCAAAAGCTTCATTGTCAGAATATACTAGAAGCTTTGAATCACATAGATTGAGTTCTCTTGACAGCATAGTAAGCGTTTTTAATTCTGAAAGCTGTTTATATTCAGTGTCACCAAATAATGGAAGTCGTAAATAGTCGAACATTTTTTGAACCGCTTGCTTTACAATTTGCATTTCTTCTGCGAATAGCTCCGTTCTGTCTCCAATATTCGTTTTCAGTTGGTTTAACACATGAACAAAACTACAAACATTTATGTGTCTTTGCATACCAAGGCATTCAAATAAATTGTAAAAAGAGGCGTATTTACTCGGAGCCTCCACAAGATATGGCTTTATAACATCTTCCTCCTTTATGTGTATGGCAACTTTATTGCATGAGACAAATAATTTATATACCGGCAAAAAAATAATAGGTTTTGCATAAAGTGTCCTTTTCATGCTATCCTTGTTTGACCCATCATTCATTTTACCATGTAACCATTTATAAATACCAATCATTAACTTTTCTATTCTTGAGGAAAGACGTTCATCCTCCTGGATTGTGGGAATGAGTGCATTCATATTGTCACATATGTTCTGCACATGACAAACAACATCTCTAAATTCTGGTTCTTCGACTATTTCTAAATGTTTGAACATTTCGTCATACTTTTTCATTCCGACATAATAATGCTGGTTTAATGGATTTAATGGATTTGCCCATTCTGGAATTAACGAACATCTTGTCCAACAAATATCTTGCTTATAACTGAGAGTCGCATTATGAAAACTGATCAATTCTGCTTCATTAGCCTGTGAGCATATACGTGATTTCCAATTACAAATAGTGTGTATAGGAATAAATTTTATGGTATTTAATGATCTCAGCATGTTTGTATCTACTTCTAGTCGAGTAAAGATATGCTCCACTAACAACTTGGATTTTGATGTCAAATCCTTTTCATTTTCTTTTGTTATACCATTCCGTCCAATTTGCTCAATATCATTTGCAAATTGTAAGACCATTTCTGGTGTAATTTCAGTTTGTAAGCCGATTATCTTCAAGAAAAAAATCCATTCGCTATCCTTATATTCTGTTGCTGGGAATTCCGAGTCTGAAAGCATAAGTCGCATAAGCTCATTTGTTGGATCCCTAAACTTCGATGCTATTTTCAAATCCCCATCAATATCGGGCACAAATTGAACTCTTTCTAGTATTGAAATGAGATCTTCTTGCACTTCATTAAAGGAACCGCCAATCGGTTTTGTTAACAAAACATCTCGTGTGTACTTGATGTGCGCCATATGATGTTCCCTAGGCAAAGCGACAAATTTTGGCAGTAAGTGCTTTCGGTAGAGATCAATATTTTTCAGGTTTTTATCTGTAAAACCTAATGTTTCGTATAGCTTAGTGAGTTTTGTACTTGTCTGCAGAAGTAAGGTATATGATGCTTCAGCCCATTCTTCGATTCCATCAGTTATAACTATATCATTTATTACCAGAACGCTTTGACCACTTTTTATGTTACAATGTTGTCCTGTAATGCTGACATGGAGCGGTATTTCTTTTATTTTTTCCAAAATATCTTTTTCCGAATCATTTTTTAGCATAATGTCTAAATGGTCAGATAGAAAGTCCATTATTTCTATACAATCTGTCGGTTCAATTTGTAGACTTGCAATAGTATGTCGCTTTTCAAATAATAGATTGAGCAAAGAGATTGGACGATCTCTTACAACGACCAAATGCTTTACAATGTTGTCGTACTCAAAGTATATATTTTCGTCTAGAAAGGGCATCCTTAATTCCTCTAAAGCCCTTTTGAGCTTTCCCGAAAACGTACTTATGTCCAGTATAAACATAGCTTCACCCACAGGCATTAAAAGATGCGTTTTTGTTTCATTTTCTTGTTCAACTAAACATGTTTTCACTTGAACTGACGGAACCAAACTCCAATACAGGAGTTGGTTGAGAATCTTTAAAATAGATTCTGATGTGTTAACTTCAGCATTGGTGTTTGATTCGGTGTTATCTGTCATCTGTTGTGTATTACGTACGACAGAACTAAGAAATTTCCATGTTTTCTCAATCCAATCTGATTCTGGAATATTAGAACTTTGTGGATTCCATTCTACTGGTATATTCTTCGTTCGGTATTTCTCTAAATGTAAAGTTTCTGGGAGGTGTTCAACAAAGCCTTCGATATCAAATGCCTTCAATCCTTTATCAGATGGGCTGAAATTATCAACTAAATTGCAGTGCAAAAACAAATTCGATGTATGGGGCAGGAGACTACAGTATATTGAGCAAAATACTGGATGCGACGTACTGAATGAGCGTAAGGCACCATCATTTGTCAGATTCAAAGGTAATCCTTCCATTAGGTCACCAAAATTTGCGTTTGTCACCTTTTTACAATACTCTATACAAATTTCAAGATTCTGTATTTTCCTTAAAGCAGTTTCTTCCAGTGACTGTCCCATTTTACCAATCTTACAACTATCTTCATGTTCTTCTTCATGTGACTTAAGAAAGGAAATGAACAATACTGGGGTCATCTCTTCAACTTTAAGATCAGCATCCTTCATACTTTTTAAAATATGTTTTGGGCATTCCAGCAATTTGATTCCTATATCTTTGCATATTTGTATGAACTGTGATAGCCTTTGAACAGCTCTGCTTTCAAGTGATGCCCCTGAATGCTCCAAACTTGAAACACGCTCATTTATTCTTTTGCTAGTGTGTGAAACAGTCTTGAAGTCGGTTGTTATTGTTATGTTTTTTGTTTTTAATGTGTTGAATACACAAGGAAAATGAAAGACATCACTTACAACTGGGTAAAAGGTTGTTATTACGTCAGTTTTTGTAACAAGTTTACATACTGGAAACATATGTTCTTCATAATTATAAATCCATCTGTATAAACTTTGCGCCAGGAACTTGAAAATGCCTGTAATCTTTGATGTGTCTGGAAAAAGTCTGTGGTATTCTATAAGCGTTTTCTTCATATTTTGTGCATTTGTTGGTGTACCAGTATCGATGCTGTATTTTTTCTTCCATATATGTAAGGCACTTACATAAGATGGAACAATGACGTCTTCCATTAAATATTTGTTCCAAGATAATCGATATCCTTCTTTATCATCTGTCCACAAGTTTCGTCTTGCCTCGTGATCTAATGCGAAATGTCCATTCACGTGAACGGGTAGTCCAGTTTCAACTGGAAGTGGCAGAAAACAGAACGCCTTGCCGTTTTCCTTTTCGTTCTTCCCTTCATCAAGTGACAAAGCTATACCTCCTCTTGGTAGAAGGCCAAGATTTCCATTTCTGTAGGAACCGATAACTTCTTCTGGTATTTTATGTTTTCCTGAAAAACCCATTCGACGAACTATTAACCATTTTGAATATGCACCATTACAATCTCTGATGTCGGCAAAATATTTAACTTCATTTGGATCGATGGAGTCTGGTTCTTGACAATCCCGAATGCTTTTAGATCCACTGTCTATCATGTTATAAAACTTTTGTCTCATTTCTGCATCTGTGTCGGACATTTCCAAATGAACACAGTATACAGGTTGTAACTTTCCTTCTATTATTTCTGAAACCTTTATAGATTTTACATGGTTGACAAACAGCAGCATTTCTCCCATTTCGTCTTTGAAGCCATTAACAAGCTCTCTAACATCTTCTATGGTTAAGTGTGATCCAGAAATATCTGATTTAAACTGAGATGTTCTTATTGGGAGCCTGAAAATTGTTCCAGTTTCTTTTAGTAGAATTTGATCATGATAACAGCTAAAAACATTAGGATGTTCTTCTTTTAATACTTCAGTATTTATATATTCTCTACCTGGACATTGAATCGTTGCATCTGGAACATATCTGCAATGTGGATCCATTACACAAAGAACTTCTCCAGTTTGAACTTCTGGACCTCTTGTCAGAAATGAGGGAACGTCTGTCAGATGGTACACAGCATTGAATCCAACTCCATACTGTCCAGTCTTTGTTGGATCTCCACTTTTGCTGCCTATTCCAAGCCTTTGGATTCCTTCTATATCAGACTCAGAAAAATAACTGTCATTACATACAAGAACAGCAGGTCCCTGCAAAGGCTTCCATGTTTCGGAAAGTAAGTTGTCTGTTGGATGCATAGCAAAGTCCATGACAATATGCACTTCTGTAGCCTTAGCGTCATCTGCATTTTGCACCATTTCTTTCAGTACACCAGAGTCACAAGGATAGCCCGAGAGTATACGGTTTATCCTTGTGATAAGTTCCTCGTGCTGACCAAAGTCTTTTGAATAAATTTTTGATGGTCTAGAGCAGTCGGCTACCTTTTTTTGTCTTTTAGTATTGATTCCTAATGGCACTGCAATTTCTGGGGAGATACTTTGATGTGTGAATCTCATTGTATCTGTGGACTTTATATCGATGCTGTCAAGACATAACGTATGAATAGGGCTCAGAACTCCATCAGCATCTGGAATATATAGCTCCCTAAGAGTATCATTATCTATTACATCGCTGTTTAGTGAATCAACTAAAACCTTCAAAAGTCTAACATAAAGTCTCACTTCACTCTCGTTCATTGCATCTGATCCATGTTTAGACTGATATGATAGTAATTCATTTATTACCCGTCGAGCAGGACATTGCTTTTCAATTCTAAAGAGATCTACAAATCCTTTTAATTTTCTGATATGGTCTGCCCTTTTAAGACTATACAGGTAAGGGATACAGTCTTCAGACATATCCAAAAAAACATTGTTAGGTTTTACAAAACTACCATCAAGAAGTAGAATTTTTTTGTCCATATAACACTCTGCTGTTTCATATAAAAAACTAGCCTTCTCTTCTAAGTGTAAGTTGTGTATGGAAATATCATTGATATATCTATATACACTCAATGTTGTGTTGTTCAACATATGTGTTCCATCACCAATTCCATTTTGACAAACAGCATTGCTAAGAGTGGATAGATTGTTTAATGCTTGTCCAAGATCAACTGCGTTATTTACACCAAGCTGTGTAAAAAGTTCATGGTAGCTGTCACGTGAAAAGTAACTTTCATCCAAAACTGGAAATATGCATCCTACAATATCATTCAATGTTGCAGAATAAATTTCAATTGGGCGTTCAAAAACTACAGAGGTATCTTTCCTATGGTTTTCATTCCCACATGTATAATGCTCACATTTATCTCCAGGGTGTGCAACTGTATCCGCAGCCCAAGTCCATTTCCAGTCATTGGGTTTAGATTTTATTGGCAAAAACTTAATTGACTGCAATTTATTCAACAGTCGTTGGTTTTTAATGATACTCGTGTGCATCGTATTTAGATATTTTACAAATTGTGCACAGCGATCTAGTGCACATTGAGAGCAGACTGTAGCCAGAGATTGTATTGAAACTGCTCTATCTTCAATCAGATCCTCTGAAAGTTGGTCTGTTATCATTCCGAGATTTTTTAGAGTATTCAATCTTTTTGATGTAGTGTACTCTGTCCCAACCACAAACCGTTGGTCTTCATCACAAAAGAGAACATTCAGAGGTCCTGTTTTGTTAACTATTTCACTAGGACGTCTAAAGAGTCTATTTGGAGCTGTCGGTATAGATTCATGGTTCTGCAAAAGCGAAAGTATCTTATCAGATGCATTGTCCAATGCATGAAGCATGAGCTGGTCTTTGATTTGTTCATCCCAAATTTCATTTGAAGAAAGATGTGGCAAAACTAATTCTGAATAAAACGTAATGATATTTATTATTCTTGATTCTATTATTGACTCACATCCTGCATCTTTAAAACATGAACTTAATCTGCTTGGTAATTGCATCATTGTAGTTTTATCGTTTTCAAGAAGTTGAATACAAACAGAAAATGCCTTGTCACCAAATTCTGTTTCCAGTATCTTGGGGTCAAGAAACTTACAATGGTCAATAGAGGTAAAGTTTTCTTCTCTCCTAAATACTTCAATACCTTTCTTTTCATTTGCTATTTTCTGATAAAATGAAACTTGCAATTTACCAAAGTTGCTCTGGTTTTCCTCTTTCTTATACTGTACAGGCCATTGTTTGTGAAACTGTTCTTTCGTTTCAATGTTTAGGTGACGAAGATTTTTAAGGAACAGTATATAAGCATTACAAACGGCATCCGTCATCAAAGCTTCATTCCAGTCGCTCTGAAATGAATCCTTATCATCTGTTGTTTTACATGAGAGTCGTCTGCGATCAGATGTTACAGCAAAAGAGCCATTGATGTGAACTGGAAATTTTGTTTCAACAGGCAGTGGGAGGTAACAGAAGACATGACTGGTTTTGTAAAACCCGAAAGGTAATTCATTCAATTGGCAAGTCCTGTACGTGTCCCCATGTATGTTTTCTAACGGACAAGCCACACTACCTAGAGGCAGTAAACCCTTAACAGCTGAATCCATTGCAAGAGTCTTGCTTCTATCTGTACCAGTTGCCCATGTAACAAACCATTTCGTTGATGAAGAACTCCCGTTTATCCCAATATGAGCTAGTCCGCCTGTTGCTTTGACTGAAATTTGAAGTAAAATACTTAGTTCAACTGGAGACAGGTGTTTATTTGGGTCTTTTCTAACGTCTTCAATACTTGTTGAGAGTTCCTGAAGAACTGATTTCCTGCTTTCTGCAGAGGCCATATACATGGGTCTTTCAATTAACTGCAAAGTCTGTCTTTGTAGACTATATAGAAGAGAAGCATTTTGAGGATCCGTTTCATTTTCCGGTAGATGATAAAACTCGACGGTGGCAACATTTTGTGTGAATAACAAGAGATTTCCTCCGGCCTCGGCAAATATTCTCATCAGACTTATCATCTGCTGATTGTTGTATGGTTTGTCACTTATTTCGCTTGATGATGCTTGCTGTCTAGTTCTTAGTGGCAACCGAAACAAAGTTCCATTATAACATACATTATCTTGCTGAACATTAAGATTACATCCAAAAACGCCATTATATGGCTCGAACTGCGATCTTTTTCTTTCTAATATTTTTCTATTTTTCCGCAAATCAATTTTCAAACCGGGTTGTTTTTTACGTTTGAGTGCATCTCCAAGATAATCATAGTGAGGATCAAATATCACCATTTGGTCCCCTGTTACAAAACTTGGAACTTCTGTCAGGTTGTAGACTGAGCAAAATCCAAGACCAAATTTTCCGATTTTAGTTGTGTCTGTTTCTTTGGTTGCACCACTTACTTTCGTTATACTCTTTAAGTCTTCATCTGAAAATGTTGCGTTGTTGTACGCCCAAAGTGCTGGTCCCTGACATTCAAACATATTTTTGTCGAGTAACATCTTCCCGTATTTTTCACGATCCCTTTGGTCGTACATAAAGCAAACCTTTGTAGCTCCAGCATCGTCAGCATTTTGAATAATTTCTTTTGGTACTGAAAGTCCATCTTTGTACGCTTCGAGTAGATTTTTTATTCTTCTAGTCAGAGGTTCACTTTGTCCCCATTCTTCAAGAAGTTCCGCATCTTCCAGCAATGTGTCCGTCACCGATTGAACACCCAATTTTTCAGCAGTGTCAACTGGTACATCTTGATGCACAAAGTGTTTTTCATCTCCAAATATGTCATCATCATCTTTAGAATAATTGCATTCGTTAGGAGGTTTCAATACAACCTTCAATTTATCTTGTTGATGGATCGGAAACAATACACCATCGACCTGATCGTTCGGAGCATCTTTAACAATGTTCAAAATGTTTACAACGAGCTGAAGATCTGTTTTTACCCTCTCAATTGTTTTAGTGTTGCTCTTGTAATTGTCCCGGATCATTGATTGAACTCTGATCAATAATATGGTGTCTTGCTCTTCAATACAATTCATTTTCCTGAAGAACTGTAACAAAATTGAATCTTTTAATTCAACAGGCAGGGGGTACAAATACGGAGTGAGGTTGATATCAGATGGTTTAGTTTTCAAATAAACACGGTTGTGTGCTTTAAACCCATTGCCTATCCAAATCCATTTTTGGGTGCATAAATTCTGAAAGATATTACTTCCATCATAGTGTGATGCCAAAAATCTGTAGATGTCATTAATGATAGGTAACAGTTCAGGTTTGTTCTGGTCCTTATATTTCTCAGTAATAATAAGTAGCTGGTTTACTACATTGGACACAGTGGGTTCTACTGTCCAACCAAAACATAAGGCCAAATTAGTTGAAAAGTCACGATTCAAAACTGGCCTAACACTTCCTACTAATTTTGTATGTTTTGCGTCAAGAAAATCGCAAGGTCGACAAAAAGTACTCTCTGACGTTTCTGTATACCATGGCAGAGACAAGGGGAATTCTCTTCTCCGCTGGCTAGGCTCGACAAAACGTAGGTTTGAAAGATGATGCGATAGCTTATATCCAGATATGTTATTATTCAGCAGTCCACTAAATCTCTGTAAAAATTCGAACAATTTTTCTGAGCGTTCTTTCTCTGTGTTTTTGTGTGAGTTACTATGAATGTGTTGTGCACAACACAGTACATCTTGTGGAGTAACATCATTAACCGTCTTTAAACCTAGTTTTCTCAGTATTTTTAGTTCAACAATCAAACTTTGTTTCTTCGGAAATCTGTTCCCATCCAAAATTATCAGTGGTAAAATAGGATCTTCTGGATCAAACAATTCTGCTACTCGTTTTCTCTGTCCATCATTGCTGTATACAAACGGGATGCCTTTAGCAAGACTTAACAATTGTTCGCTCTTTCGGTAATATGAAATATTTTTCAGGACATATGCCATCATTTTGTTCGTATCACTCTCAGAATATTGGCTACTCAGATTTTGCAAAATGTCAATAATAACATCCTCTCTGTCGATGAATGTAGCATTCAGCAATTGTGCTAGCGATCTGTATTTTGTGTCAGAACAATCTAAGGTTTCCCGAAAGTACCTCAAGGGAAGACCGTCAGTGTCAGCAATAGATCTGACTTGATTCAACGACACAAATCGTCGTGATGTCTTCTCAACAAACAGTGCCAAAGAAGAAAGAAGACTAATTAAATGTCTGTTCATGTTAGAATATCGTGAAATATATGTTACAAACTGCGATCTTTGAGAGTTTGTGACTGCTTCATTGAACTTTTGAATGAATTGGTAAACATTACCATTCGCTTGCACTTTTGTTAACATCTGGAAGACATTTTCCACTGTCGGCAAATAAATAAAATTGCGAATGCTTATGTGATTTTCAATTTCAGAAGGTATAAAATCAAGAACAACAATATCTAAGTATCCCAAACAGCAACATACATCCGAAGGAATATCGAACGATCCATTTGATTTCAGAAGAAATACGGTAGATATTTTGTATAGTCCGTTTGTCTTGGTATGTGGTATCAAATTCAGATGACTAAAGAAATTCAGATCATATTGCTGAATGTAAGACCAAACTTTCTTCAGCCAGTCCATTCCTACTGGATTTGATTGAGACCATTGAATACATTTCTTGGTTATTGGTCCTATGTACTTGGCTATAGTCGCTTGTATTAGGTTGGCAACATCACTTTGTTCATGAAGAATTGCTAGCTGAAAGTTTCCTGCAATAAACAATACATATAATAAATAAATAATTAGCTTAATTTATGGTATAATACAGATAAGACATTTGTTATTATGTGATATGTTAACCCAAGTCCAGAGTACCAATGTCTCATTGTCTTATTTTATACAACTGCGTAGAATTGTTGTTGTACAGTCGAATAGTCTGCACAGTATTCAGTTGAGTAGAAGTAGACTGTGGGCTGAAAAGTGGAGGGATCAAACTTCTGAAAGTGACACAGTTGAATAATTCAAAAATTGGAGGTTGTTTGAGACAGTCTTTTCTCGAATTTTCAGTGACTTAAAAAGATGCGTTTTTGTAAGTATAATTTTTTTATTTCATCGGCTACAATGTATAAGAGTGATACATTTCTGAAAAAAAAAACAAGAAGTTGCACACGTTGTCGATCTAAACATATGCCATTCGTAATTAAAAGTATCTGGCAGATTTGAAAAAAGCGGTTACATGTTACAACTAATCACTGCTAAACTGCCGATGAAATATATAGTCAATCTGTTCGATTTCGGTTTTTTTGTCGGTTTATATTATTTGATAACGTTGTAATGCATCATTGTTTGAATTTTTCCAATCTTTCGTTTGAGGTACGTTATGATGTGTCGTTGCTTGGCTATTTTGTTAGCTCATCGTCACGTGTGTACACGGTGAATGGTGGAATTGACAAAAATACGAATAAGGTGACGAAAAACACATTCAGACAATATTTTATAACAATTCCTAGGATATTCCATACTGAATAGTAATAAAATGCTTCGCTGCGCGCAGCCTGATACGACCGCTGAGGTCGAACCCTGAACAGTTGGGGCAAGTTTGGACACAATATCCAAGCTTGATATTGTCTGAATTTGAATTGAGATCAAATTTTTTACATAATCATGATAATATAGGTTTCTGACACAAAATAAATGTGGTCAAAGATCTTAAAAATTTGAAATGGGACATTTAATTTACCTAGAATGGTCTGATATCCAAAATCTAACAACATGGTTAGATTCAGCATATAAAAAAAACCAAAAAATTAATTTTAGTTGAAATCAAACAATATTTAATTTTGGACCCTTCAAACCTTAATATGGACTAATTTGAAAACAGGGCCCAAAATAAAAAATCTAAATGCACAATAAGATTCAGCATATCATACAGCCGCAATAATCCAGTTTTTGAAGAAATCAAACAAAGTTTAATTTTGGACCCTTTTGAACTCAATATAGACCAATTTAAAAATGGTGCCCAATATCCAAAATAGTTATACAAGGTTAGAACCCCCAAAAATTAAAGACTTTAAATTAATCCCATTGAAATTGGTTAAAAGATTTGTATTTATTTTCAATTGAAGATTTCTTGCTATTGCACAATACTGTGCTATTGCATAATACTGTGCACTTGAAGATTTCTTGATATTGCGCAAAACTGTGCTATTGCGCAATACTGTGCTATTGCGCAATACTGTGCAATTGAAAAGTTCTTGCTATTGCGCAATACTGTGCTGTTGTGCAATACTGTGCTATTACGCAATACTGTGCAATTGAAGATTTCTTCTTGAAACTTTTCAAAAAATTTGAAATTTCAAAAATTTTGAAGAACAAAAATATGAACACCCCAAAACTTTTTGAACCCCACCCAACCCCTTGGAGTAATTACCCCCAAAACTCAATCCCAGCCTTCCCTTTGTGATATGGAACCTTGTGGTACAATTTCAGAGAGATCCATACACTTACACACAAGTTATTGTCCGGAAAGTACAAACATGCTTGTTTTTGGCCCCTTTTTGGCCCTAATTCCTAAACTGTTGGTAACTTAACCCAAAAAATCAATCCCAATCCTTTTGTGGTATTGAACCTTCTGGTAAAATTCATAGAGATCCATTCACTTAAACTAAAGTTAATGTCCGGAAACCAAATTTGTCTTCGGACGACGACGACGACGACGACGACATCATATCATTATACGAACGCACAAAAATTGTTGGGGTCGTATAAAAAGTTGGATTAACAAACTATACGAATTGCTTAAGTATAGTCATACTGGTCATTTTAATAAGTCAGTTAAAATTATAATAATAAACTGTTGACACAGAGATAAGTCTGGACCATGAACTAGGACCTCCAAATAGTTATTTAACTGATATTTACTGATAGTAATGCAACTTTATGGAAGATTTCATTGATCTATCACAAGTAGTTCCTCTCAAACTGAATTTAGCAGAAAAACTTAACATTGAAAATTGCTAATAACATATAATTCAGTCATAAGACCATAACCTAGGAGGCAGGGCCTCAAAATAGTCATTAAACTGCTAGATACTGATAGTTATGCTTTCTAGAAAATATATCAACTGACTTTAGCTGAATTTTTTTTTTTTTTTTTTTTTTTTTTTTGCTGTGCAATATGCTTTTAGCTAGCCGCCGTTTTCTCTCTACCTTAGAAAATATAGTTTAACATGTGACTATCCCTGAACGAATCAAATTAGTTAAAATATACGAATTAATAATATTATGATATATTATAAATTTTAGTTTAAGAAGATAAATTAAGTTTTTCTGCAACCAAATTATGGAAGTTTTCACATTTGCTGAAGAAAATTCCTTTTTAAAAATTTCAAACACATTAACTTGTTTTGTTCTTTGCTCGGATATATAATATCCTTTGTATATAGCTGAAAACTTAACAATTGTTGACGCCGTCGCCGCCGGAAAGCAACACTCGGGTCGACTTCGATTTGATTAACTCGGGTTGCTCGGGTAAAACTTTTTACGTAACTGCGCAAGTGCAATAGACAGTTAAATCGAACATTAACTTACACAGGTCGGGAACACTACCTTATATGGATATGCGAAAATTAGCATACCAATGTCCTCTCACATGTATTTGTTTATTTACGACGCAATTTTGTGTTTCCTGGGTTTTTGACCAATCCAATAAATGAGTAACAATGCATGATGGACTACTACGTGTTTACGATCAACCGGGAATACGTGTTATTTACTGAAATACAACACATTTTTTCATGCATTGCGGGATTAACAATTTCGCTTAGTTTTTCATTTTTTGTGTCCACATTTATAGTCTGTGATACAAAGTATTCGTTCCATGCTCAGATTAACGAAGAGTTATTTCTATGCGAAGAAACCAGTGTTTGAATTACCCGACATATAGCCATTAATATGATTGATGATTACAAGAAGATTTCAGATATTCGTCCACAAGACAGCAACAAAACAACAGCGAAAAACACAATTACCCATAAGATAAACTTTCATTCAGATATTTAAAAAAATAAGGGATCCTTGAATTTTGGGTTCGTAAAATAGAAGAAGACTTAGAGTGTGTCAAATATGTGTTAGGGTCACTAAAATTTCCCAGCTTTTCACAAAATTGGTGTTATGATATTGTACCTTCTTTTATGATTAAAAAGTCATATAAATCGAGGAAGGGTGTGCCTTTATTAATTTGTCTTTAAGAAACAAACACGTGGAATCATTAATCGGGGCCATTTATAGCCGACTATACGGTATGGGTTTTTCTCATTGTTGAAGGCCTTACGGTTGCCTATAATTGCTCATTTGAACTTCGGTGGATAGTTGTCTCATTGGCAATCATACCACCTCTCCTTATTTTTATATACAAACACCTTTTAGAAAGATTGGTTACTATTATCTTGAAAAGAGATATTTACTATAGAAATACTGTGTATTATTTTTATATTTAGAATTTGACAGGTACAGAACATGTATTAAACCTATATCATCTATCAAATTTCATCAAAATTGCTTAAGACATTTCTTAATTCTTGTCTGACAATGTTAACAAATTCTATAAGTATTGATTTTTTGGCATATTTCAGTTTTTTTGGACTTTTTGCTATTTCAAACTGTTCCCTTTGTTCTGAAGGTAATGAAGCAAGATTTTTCTCAATCATTGCAAGCAGCTGTAGTTTTGTTTTGTTTTCGTCTTTGCAAACCTTGTTTTCTTCTAATGTAGATATTTGAATCTTTGATATTTTTAACGGACTCGGATATTTGTCAATCTTAATAAAATCATTTATTATGCTATCCATGTTTATGTGTGACAAGACGTGAACTTTGATATGTTTTGTGAAAATTGCAGCGTTTTATCTAAACCTATTATTATATATTTCTCTCATTTATTGGATACAGGTATTTTGTTTTTCTTAATTCTACTCGAAACAGGTCCTTTTCTGATTTAAATTCCTGTATTTGTCTCGGTTGCTTCATATACATGTATTCTATTCTTCTAAGTAAGGAGTTAAAGTTTAAAAGAGCTCAAATTATTTTTATACTGGACAGTGGTCACTTCATTGGAAATTTCACTGTTTCCTGTGAAATTAATGCACAGGTACAATGCATAACAATGGCCAAAACCTGTTCAATTACTTTTACAAGGCGAAAAAGAAAGTCGAATCGTGAACCCAGTAAACAATATTTTTTTAATCTGAGCATGAACATAAAATATTATGTTATATATTTTACATTAAACACATTCGCTGAACAAAAACAATTATTATGAGAGTCCCAGACACTATATTAGTTGACAGTGTTCCCACTTACTCCACGTGTTTTAAGTGGTAGTAAACTCGTAGTAGCCCACAATGCATTGTAGTTCAATGAGTCGATTGGTCAGTTTTTTTAAGGCCATGTTTACCTTCTATTTGAGAAATTACTATGCAAATATATTCTGACGTCAGGAAATATAGAGTTCCCGACCTGTTACAAGTCGAGTAAACTCTTCAAACCCTTCAAAATGAAGCATTACATGGAAGAAATATTAGACGACAATAACATTATATTGAATATCTAAAGAAACAAAGCTGACCTGATATCAATTCTGTTAAATTGCATTCACAGCAGACATGTTCCGCGTGGCGATTGTACTCCGGTAATGATATGATTTGTCTGTGTTGATAATGTACATTTTCATAGTACTTTTCAAAAGTAAATATTAAAATTACCTCTTTAAAAAGAAAGCAGCAAAATAACAAATTCACGATATTGACAGCGCCGGCAAAATGGACATTGCTATAGAATATGCCTTTTTGTCGGATTTAATTAAGGTATTTTAATCAGAGCTGACAAAAAGGCTTACTTTTCTATTTTGCCGGCGCCTGTATTTTTTAATGGTACTGCCGAAAAATATTAAAATTCCCTCTTCAAAATAGCCACTGCTATATTAATATGCTATTTTGCAAGCTTTTATCAAGGTATTTTAATCAGAGCCGGCAAAATAGCATATTTTCTAGTTTGCCGGCGCCGGCAAAATAGCCACTGCTTTATCAAATCGTACCAAATGATGAAAACATTTTCATTTTGTATTAAATCAATAACTGAGCTGCTTTTTTCATAATTTGGTTTTATAAAGTTGTTACTTTTGCAATGTGTTGCCCAGTGTAAGATGCAAGTAGATAAAATTTGAAATTGAAGTTTTTACTTACTTCACTTGTTCTTCCATTTTGTTTTTTTAACTCTACTCGACTAAACCTGCCAACGAGGTAGGTAGAACTCGACTCGGGTCAAAAGGTTAAATTGATAACGTTTTAGAGAAACTCTACCGGTTCGATTTAAACTCTACCAGTTCGATTTAAACGAGTAACCTGAGTTAATTAAATCGAAGTCGACCCCATGTCTCGCCTTACGCAACTTTCGTCACATGTCTTCTTATTTACAATGTAGTTATAAGATATGCATTGTACCATTGTACCATTGGACGTCAAGCACATAATCTAGAGACTGTAAAGAGCGTCTGTCGCTTACCTTGGTCTATGTGTATATTCAACTATGGACACTCTCCAGTCTATATTATAAATGATGACCAAAATCTCTTTTTTGATTATCTTGTATTGCTTATAATGTTATTTTCTTTACAGTTTTTCTCTATCATCTATAGTGTTTGCCAATTGCATATATACTGTAAAATTGAGAATGGAAATAAGGAATGTGTCAAAGAGACAACAAACCGACCAGAGAGCAGAAAAGTCCACCAATGGGTCTTCTACACAGCGAGAAAATCCCGCAACCGGAGGCGGACTTCAGCTGGCCTCTAAACAAAAATGTGTACTAGTTCAGTGAAAACGGACGTCACACTAAACTCCAAAACATATAAATGAACTAAAATTAAAAAAAAAACACACAAGACTAACAAAGGCCAAAGGCTCCTGACTTTGTACAGGCGTAAAAATGCAGCGGGGTTGGGCATGTTGTGCGAGATCTCAATCATCCCCCTATACATCTAGGCAATGTAGAATAAACAAGCACACAGCAATACGCACAGTAAAACTCAGTTTAAAAGAAGTCCGAGTCCGATGTCAGAATAGGTAACAAAAGAAACTAAGCAAAATGAAAAAGATACATAAATTACCAAAGGACTACTAGCAGTTACTGACATGGCAGCTCCAGACCTCAATTAAACTGATTGAAAGATTATGTCTTCATCATATGAAAACCAAGCACAATCCCTCCATGAGGGGTTTAGTATCATACCATCATAAAAAATATGTGAAGAACATAACCCGTATCATGCCAACAACTGGTTTTAGAATAAATATTAATACCAAAAATATACCATCTTTAATGACCTGACAACAGTATCGTAACTATATCACTTATGAATATTTCTGTTTAAAGGTTTTGTTAGCTTTAGAGGTGAATGCCGACATTTTTGTGCTTTGTATAGAATATTACCATAACAGATTTGATGTGAAATACCTGAATGTATAAGATGTATGCATGTTGATTTATATTTACGAATGATGTCCTTGTACCGATGATAAAATTCAGTAAATGTTTTACTAGTTTGTGATATCGAAAAACCTGGTGTAATAATTTTTTCAGTTATACAGAGATTTCTTTCGTTACAATCAAATACGTTGTTACACACACGAGCGAATCGAACAAGTTGAGATATATCAACACCATAAGATGAATTATTTAAAGATTTTTTCTTTTTGAACATGTTTGCTTTTTAAACTTTCTATTTATCTATTATAGTGAAATTTATTATTATAGTAAAATAATAGACAATAAGGTAACAAATTAGTAAAAATTGACATTTATGGGCAATTACTCCTATAAGGAGTCGACTAACGAATTCGGCCATGACGAATTATTTGTAGATCTTGTCTTGCTGGTCATTTTCCTATTAAGATTTCCATCTCAAGGTAATATGCAAAAAATGTTAAAAAAAAAGTGATTTAAGGCACTAACTCCTTTCAAGAGATGACCAACGATTTCAGCAATATCAACTTATTTGTAGATCTTGCCCTGTAGATCATTTTTGATATATGAAGTTTCGGCCATGTTAACTTATTTGTAGCTGATCATTTTTTTTTTATATATAATAATTTGTCTCTATCTATTTTGATTTTCACGAAAATAGGCAAAAATGAAAAAAAATAGTAAAATTCATCAATAAAGGGCAATAACTCCTATAAGAAGACATCTGACGGTTTTTAATGCAAAAAGACAGAAGGTAGATCTAACATTTTGACCCCTGTAAGATGTTCTCTTTATATAGTGGACACATCTTTTTAAACTGGATACCCAATGATGATTCTTGCCAAGTTTGATTAAATTTGGCCCAATAGTTAAATCAGTTAACGGAATTGTGGAATAGAAAGTACTGAGCTCCTGCGCCTTGATTTGTAGTCTGAGTCCAGTAGATATACTATGCTTTCTTTTTTTTTATTAGTACATGTATCTATAATTACCCTTGCTCGCCGCTGTGAAGAGTTTGTTGTAAACTTCGTCATTCAGTCCTTGTCTAATAAACTTCTCCTCTTGTCCAGGAAATAAATATACTTCTTCTTTACAGACAAACACCTGATTGTTCTGGTTTCTATGATTAAATGAACAGAAGCAACCATTGTTCAGGGGGAGTAACTCTAAACCATGTAATCCGGAGAAGCCGCCATCGGATACTAGAAAACTTAAAATGTCCAGTTTTTCCTCACTTGTGAACGATTTGTAAGCTGAATTTGACTTCATGCTCTGACAAATGAAATCCTGGGACAAAATTTGTATGGAGATGTTTTTGCGTTTCAGTACATCAATAATGTGTTCAGGTACATCAACTAAATCAATGCTTAACTTCTGCATTAATCTAAAGATCGTTGTCTTCACATCTGAAAAGTATAAAACAACTAATTTTTCAAATACAAAATTTCGAGAAACCAGATTTTTTTTCACTGCCAGAATGCATCTAAAGAAAACTCATTAGAATGAGATGTTTATTGCAAAACTGATGAACAATCATAAACGTATGTATAGCAGTAACAACTTCTCGTAAAGAAGTCCGATCAAACTGCAGCTCCGCCTGATCCTGCATTAATATATAATATTTTGCTATATATGTTGAAGGCATCATTGTGACTTTGAAATTAAGAACAGCAATTAAAGCTAGTTTCCTCTTCTTTTAGTTGTATCAAGTATGAGTATGGATTATTGAATTAAAAAAAAACATCGTTTTTCTTCATGTGTGTTATTCGTAGCAAGCATTATAATGGTATTGTATGTGAATTTCAGTGTCCCCTACCTGCAGAAGTATTGAATGAAATCACAAATAATTTAACTAACAATTTCAGGAAGGGTCACGCTTACACATAATTGTGTGATGCGCAGAAACAAATGATTAATTAAAAAATTGTATACGTTTACGATCTTTATTTATTTTGACACAAGGGAAACATTTAAGGATATGTTATGAGTAAAAAATTTAATTCTAGGGAAAGGGCTTAATCTGAACAAAGAGAAAAGCTAAAATCTTGAAAATTGAACTTGACCTGTAACTTGTCATGATAAATCAATAAACCAAATATCAAATCAATATCTTCAAGCACGAAGAAAAAAGTCTGGAAAACTGATTTGCCGGACTGACAGACAGACAGACAGACAGTCGGACAGACGGACGGACGGACGGACAGAAAGACAGACAGACAGACAGACAGACAGAGTGCAAACCTAAAGTCCCCTTCGACTTCGTCGGTAGGGGACTAATAACAAGTCCATATAAGCTAACCGTCGGTGCTTTGCTTTTCCGCCAATTGGCATTTCATTTGCGCAACGAAACATATTTCATTTGCGCCAAAATAATACATTTCATTTGCGCCAATAATATAGGTAAATGCAGGTAAAAATTATAAAAAATAGTTTTATTCATAAGAGAAATTTTAAAACACATTTTTTTATTGCATAATAAACGTTCATCAGAAACCAGTCATCATAACCGTAATAAAAGCACTTTTTAAAAAGAGACGTTTCATTATAAAAAAAACACAAAACTTCTGTTATAAATTAACGTGATCATAAAACCTAAAAGAATTAAAGCACTATACATTGAAGTAAAACCAAAAGTTTGTTCTGACTCAAGATTTGTAAGCAACGGATGTACTAATGAACATTTGATAACCTACATGTGTGGTCATAAAAAAATACACTTATTTCCTCTATTAAAAAGAAAGAAGATGCGGTATGACAAATATCCACCAAAGTTCAAATGAAAAGGACGAAAACTATTAAAGGCAACAGTAAGGCCTTCAAAAATGAGGAAAACCCATAATGTGTAGTCGGCTATAATCGGGCCCGACATGAAAAATATGAAACAATTCAATTGAGAAAACTATCGGCCTGTTTGTCTCTCAGAATTTACACCTCAAAAATGTGAACACTATACAATTTTAAACTTAAGTGACTCTCAGTTTTATATTAGAAATGAGTATGTACAAAATGTACTCACTTAGTTACCCAGAGGGGGATACTTTATAAAAATCTTATTCACGATATATCAATGAATGTTTAAACTTTTCCGTTATGTGTTACATGTGATATGGCGTAAATGTAATTTTTATATTTTGGCGCAAATGATATACAACCTTGTAGAGCAAATAAACGATTGGATTTAGTAAATATTTGCGCAAATGCAATGCCCCTAACCATGATTTTTTTTTATGTATTATGGCAGCCATTTAACAAATGGAGGTCGACGGATAAATTTTGAAATACGGAATAAATTTGACATAGCATGTTACATGTTACATGTATGTATACACATTACCAATTTTTATTCAAATCCTAACAAAATTTGTGATTAAGATAAATGTTCTACACGTCATCGGTCACACTTTGAATAAATTTGGAAAAGAATATTATACCTGCTTATCAATTTCCATTGCAATCCTCGCACAGAAAGGTGTTTCACAAAAAAAAATCAGTTTTTACATAACTTTATTTTGCCAATTTCACCAAAAAAATTGTCACCTGGAATTAATTCAGCCAAAGTATCATAATAATCCTATATTTCAAATTTCGCTAAAAGATAAAGTCCTAACACAAAAAGATGTTTCTCAAATTTGAGATTTGTTAACAAAAACTGACAGCAATTACCCAACCCAAATTTTCATATATTGATGAATGTAAATTTATTGACCAAAGGTATGTTAGTCATGCCAATACTCTAGTGTACTGGTAGTTCACAGGCAACGGTTATACGACCCTGTGGACGCCAAACTAGTTCACATAAACTAAATCCATTATAATATTCATTTTCACCTTTTTAGCTCACCTGGCCCAAAGGGCCAAGTGAGCTTTTCTCATCACTTGGCGTCCGTCGTCCGTCGTCTGTCGTCCGTCGTTAACTTTTACAAAAATCTTCTCCTCTGAAACTACTGAGCCAAAGTTAACCAAACTTGGCCACAATCATCATTGGGGTATCTAGTTTCAAAAAATGTGTCAAACGACCCGCCCCGCCAACCAAGATGGCCGCCATGGCTAAAAATAGAACATAGGGGGTAAAATGTAGATTTTGGCTAATATCTCTAAAACCAAAGCATTTAGAGCAAATCTGACATGAGTAAAATTGTTCATCAGGTCAAGATCTATCTGTCCAGAAATTTTCAGACAAACCAGACAACCCGTTGTTGGGTTGCTGCCCCTGAATTGGTGATTTTAAGAAAATTTTGCAGTTTTTGGTTATTATCTTCAATATTATTATAGATAGAGATATACTGTAAACAGCAATAATGTACAGCAAAGTAAGTTCTAAAAATAAGTCAACATGACCAAAATGGTCAATTGACTCTTTAAGGAGTTATTGCCCTTTATAGTCAATTTTTAACAATTTTTCGTAAATTTTTGTAATCTTTTACAAAAATCTTCTCCTCTGAAACTACTGGGCCAAATAGAATCAAACTTGGCCACAATTATTATTGAGGTATCTAGTTTAAAAAATATGTCCGATGATCCCGCCCAACAACCAAGATGGCTGACATGACTCAAAATAGAACAAAGGGGTAAAATGCAGTTTTTGGCTTATATCTCTGAAACTTAAGCATTTAGAGCAAATCTGACAATTGGTAAAAATGTTCATCAGGTTAAGTTCTATTTGGTCTGATATTTTCAGACGAATCAGACAACCTGTTGTTGGGTTACTGCCCCTGAATTGGTAATTTTAAGGAAATTTTGCAGTTTTTGGTAATTATCTTGAACATTATTATAGATAGAGATAAACAGCAATAATGTTCAGCAAAGTAAGATCTACAAATAAGTTAACTTAACCAAAATTGTCAATTGACCCCTTAAGGAGTTATTGCCCTTTATAGAATTTTTTTTTTAATTTTCATAAATTTTTGTAATCTTTTACAAAAATCTTCTCTAAAACTACTGGGCCAATTAGAATCAAACTTGGCCACAATCATCATTATTTAGTTTTAAAAATGTGTCCAATGACCCTGCCTGCCAACAAAGATGGCCGACGCGGCTAAAAATAGGGGTAAAATGCAAGTTTTGTCTATTATTCTGATAACCGTTATAAATAGAGGAAATCTGAAAAGGGTAAAATTGTTCAGAATGTTGAGCTCTACCAATTCTCCATATACGTCAAAATTGTCAGACGATTTCCTGTAGGAGTTATTGCCCTTAAATGACAAATTTTACCACTTTTTTTTTCGATTTTTGCCTATTATCTTGAAAACTATAATAGATAGAGATAAACTTTAAATTGCAAAAATTATCAGAAGGACAAGGTCTACAAATAAATTTATAGTTGAAATCGTCAGTTGACTCCTTATTAGAGTTATTGCCCTTTGATGACGATTTTTACTATTTTTTTGGCGTTTTTGTCTTATATCTTAAAACTTATAATAAATAGAAAGAAACTTAAATATACAAAACGATCAGCAAGACAAGATCTACAATTAAGACAAGTGAAGGAAATTGTACGACGACTCCTTGTTGGAATTATTGCCCTTTAATGACGATTTTTACCATTTTTTTGCGTTTTGCCTTATATGATAAAAATTATAATAGATAGATAGAAACTTAAATAATCAAAAATGATAAGCAAGACAAGACCTACTAACAAGTCAAATTTTGCTGATATAATTAGTAGCCTGTTACTCTTTATAGGAGTTATTGCCCTTCAATTAGGATTTTTTTTACCCTCTTTTGTGTTTGGAGCAAAACCTAAATAAGATAGAGAGAAACTAAAAAAACTTCAATGATCAGCAAAGAAGATAAAAAAAAATAGATATTTTTGTCATTAATTCTATTCTCGTCTACAATGTTGGAGAGTGTCCTTTGTTGAATATGCATATAGACCAAGGTGAGCGACACAGGCTCTTTAGAGCCTCTAGTTTCGAGTTCCAAAATACTTTTTTCCGAAAAAAATAATTCATTTTCTAACATAAAGAGCATGTTCCAGTGCACTGCGGAATCAATGCTTTTGTCTGTTTCTTTTTTTAGTGCCATAATCATATTATTCATTTACATAAAAATCATGACAAAACCAATTCAATACGTCAAATCTTGCAATTCATCATTGAAATTGTTGGTGTTTTTTGTCGAAAGTTTGGCAAAGACAAAGATAATTTAAATTCTGAAAAGCCACCAACAAAAAAGCTATACTTGATATCAGGTTCTTCATTTCTAAAATACAATTATATCTTAACCATGTTAACTGTACTCACCACTGGAAACATCACTGCTAAATATCTTAAAGACAGCTTCCTCTGGACGAATCCATTTGCCTCCACAACTATCAGAGAACAAAAACGGTGTCCTAAGAAGTACATCAAACAAAGGATCGACAATCAGATCCCAGTGACTAGTTATTAGTCTATGATCAGGGATTGATTTGTAAATAAGGTTCAGTCGCTCAATAGTATTTCCATTGTCTTTGCATGTTTGTATCAGATCTTGGATAACTTTATCATATACGTCTACTAAGACTTCTTTAAGTAAGCATTCGTTCCATCTATTCGATTTGTCTGTGTGTCCCGTCATCAATGTTTGATCAGCTGAAGGCCATTTGACATGCCTTCTGTTTTGGCTCAATGCAAAATATCCATTCACGTGAACTGGATATCCAGTCAAGCTTTTATTTTCTAGGGGTAATGGCATCAGACAGAAAACATGACCTTTGAACTCTGGATCATTTGTCATCGGCACGGCTATGCTGATATATGGACTATATGACAATGCCTTGTCCTGTGAAAGTTTTACTAGTTCTTCTGACAGATTTCCACCTTTTAAGCAATGCAAAACGAACCAGCTCTGTTCTAATTTGTCTACAGAACCGGTTTGGGTTTCGACTGTTAATTCAAACTTTGTGGAAAACGTTTTCGCTGCAATATCCCGACCAACTAATTTCATGTGCTGGTGTAATTGAGACCTTCTTTCACGTACTTCATCCAGACAGCTTTCTGCAATTTTCACAGTAAAATGGGGTCTGTCTGAAACATTTGATCCAGATATATCACCAATATACAGTTCTATTTTCTCAAGACATTTCAGGAATAACAGTTCAACGGATGCCTCTGCTTGAAAAGCATTGAAGAGATCTAATATCTTCTCTTTGTCATACACATTATCTGACAGGTTCGTTTTCTCGTGACGAAGAGGAAATCGGAATAAAGTTCCTTTGAATTCTCCGGAATCAAGAGTCTTCTGAGAAAATTGGAACAATCCATCTAAAGCATTTAAGCAGTAGGAAATATCAAGATGCTTTTTATATTTATGGAGTTTGTTCAGTTTCATATTGATGCAGACACGGTTGGCATTTTTATGAGGGTCAAGCACTAGCATTCTGTTGCCACTTATTATCATAGGATAATCTAAAATATATATTACATACATGTATAATTTAAGTTACTCAGCTGTAGACAATTTAAACATTTTAACATTTACCTACTTAGTTCTATAGAACAAATACAAACACTAAAATAATTTTCACATGCATAATTTATACCTCGACAATAGGCCAGAGTTTATAGTACAAATGGTCAAGATTCTCAAGTGCGTATCATAATGACGAAAACATCCCAATTTATTTCACCAAAATATAGGCATTAAACAGGCGGGCATTCCTTATTGGTGGATGCTTATAAGAGCTTCAGCTTCTTAGATAAAGCAAAGAACTTCTTTATATGCAGTCACTAGTACAGATAATCATGACGTATGCTGAGGGTAATTTTCGATTTTGTTTTTATGGATCCTTCGTTGACAGAAAGCAATGGAAAGGCTTCAAAGCAAAAACTAAGCCTTCCAAGACGTGATAATAGTTTGACTAATGTAGTCATAATGCAATAATGCCTGTGCCCCTTAATGTAAAGTGTAATGCAATATCCTAAGTCCTACTGAACTTTGACAAGTCGATATGTAAAATCATTTTGTCTAGTATATAAATCCACCTTACTACATAATTCATTCTTATATAATTACATTACATGTACATTTGTATGTTTCGTTATAATACGTTATTTTGATTGGCTAACAGCAATCTCGCATCATTCTGAAATTAACCTTCATTTCAAAATGAAATGTAACATTCGTGATGACACGAGCTTCCACAATTAAAGAACCTTAGTGAGCGCGCTCACATACCCCACGTCCCCACATTGTCATTGGAGAAATAAAAAAAGTGTTAGAAAAAAGAAATTGTATCAGAAAAAAAAATTGAATCATAATTTCCTGTCAATATGCACATCTATATAGTATGTCCTTATTATCTACACACTTTCATGAAATTCTGTTGTGTGGTTTGAGAGGAGTTGCGATGACAAAAGGTTGCAGTAGTATATTGGGCAAATAAGTTCAAAGGGACGTAACTCCTGGAAAAAAAATTGAATCGTAATTTCCTGTCGATATGCACATCTACGTAGTATGTCCTTATTATCTGAAAAGGTTTCATGAAATTCTGTTGTGTGGTTTGAGAGGAGTTGCGATGACAAAAGGTTGCAGTAGTATATTGGGCAACTAAGTTCAAAGGGGCGTAACTCCTGGAAAAAAAATTGAATCGTAATTTCCTGTCGATATGCAGATCTACGTAGTATGTCCTTATTATCTGAAAAGGTTTCATGAAATTCTGTTGTGTGGTTTGAGAGGAGTTGCGATGACAAACTGTTGCAGTAGTACATTAAAGTAAATAAGTTCAAAGGGGCGTAACTCCTAGAAAAAGAATTGAATCGTAATTTCCTGTCGATATGCACAACTACATAGTATGTCCTTATTATCTAAAAAGGTTTTGTGAAATTCTGTTGTGTGGTTTGAGAGGAGTTGCGATGACAAGAAACAGGACTGACGGACGGAAGGACAGACGGACGGACCGGTCAAAAACATTATACCCTCCGCAACTCGTTGCGTGGGGTATAATAAAGTGCACAGATTAATAAAAGAAAAAAACTTGATAGAAATCATGTTTTCATGATATTTGCAAAAAATGTTAATTATAAGTATTGAATGCTTCTTTTAGTAACTTTATAGGGTTGTTAAAGCGTTGACCGTGCGCACATTTTTAAAATGTACTTCGGTCAACGCTTTTACACCCCAATAAATTTACAAAAAGAAGCATTCAATTCTTAAAACAAAAGTAACAACAAACATACCAAAAATTAAATTAATCACAAATTGAATTTATTAATATATATATCATCTGATGTATGAATATAGATTAGATCACTGCACAAAGTGTGATACGACATTTCTCCATTCAAGACATAGAGAGTTCAGATTTAAGACATGAGGCTTGCATGTGTTATCTGAAACAGAAATTTAAATTGTAGTCGTAGATTTCACGAAAATTCCACTTTCTGTAAAATAAAAACCTGAATTTACCGAAGCCCCTTAATTTTCTGTCTGTGTTGAAATCGCTACCATCCTATTCATTGGAGAACTGACTTGAGTCCCAATCCAAATGATAATTTAGCTAGAACACTCAATACAGCACAAATTGAAAGGAATTATTTATTTTCACCTGCTATTTGGAACACTTAATAGAGTCCAATTTGACAGGAATTATTCTATTCTCACCTGTTATATAATTAACCTTAATAGAGTCCAAATTGAAAGGAATTATTTTTTTCTGACTTGTTATTTGGACAACGCAATAGAGTCTAAATTAAAAAAAGAATTATTTATTCTTACCTGTTATGTGGAACACTGACTTGAATCCAAGTCCAAACCGTCCAATCTTAACAGGATCAAATTCTTTCACACTACTGTTAATCATCTGTATTCCATCCCAGTCCTCCTTTGTAAAATTGGCATTGTTATATACACACAAGGCTGGACCCTGTAAAATTGGCATTGTTATATTTAAAGGCTGGACACTTATATTACCATTTTTATATACACAAAATGCTTCGGTACTGAAATAAAAACATTTGTCTGATTGTATAAAATTTCAAAAATCTTCTCTCTCTATAAAATGTTTTTGGGGGGCGGAGGTGGGGTGCGGGGGGCGGAGGTGGGGTGCGGGGGGCGTAAGTGTACTATACCAGATTTGGTCATCACTTATCAGGGGATATCAATTCAATTTAAACAAGAGAAACGGAACTCTTTGTTATAGAAGGTGAAAATGGGAAAGTTGGTAAAATGAATGAATTGTTTACACTTGTTTCCATGGTCTTTAAAAAATTAATGCAGGTGTATATTTTTAGCATTTTATATGATGCATATACAAGATTTCAATGGGGAAAAAATTACGGAAATCTAACAATTTTTCATTTAAAAGCATCTCTGACCCTGGCATCAACAATTTGGATTACAATCCTGCAAATGTGCTTTAATTCTATCGTAAAGAGCAAGTCGGGTGACATCTTTTCACATTCAGGCGTGTTTGTGTCGACTGCTTTGTCCTTAAAATGCATAAAACAATAAACTGCTTCGCTGAGCGCAGCTAGATACGCCCGCAGAGGTCCAACCCTGAACAGTTGGGGCAAAAATGGACACAATATTCAAGTTTGATTCAGGTCTGAATTTGGATTGTAATTAAATATTTGACATATTATAGGTTTCTGAATAAATGTATTCAAAGAACTTGAAATTGGTTATATGAATTGAATTTATGTTCAATTAAAGATTTCTTGCTGTTGTGCAATACTTAGTAAATCTGTTGTCAGACTATAAACAAATAAAGTTCAATTAATTCTCAATGTCATATTAGAAATTTATGAAAATAATCAGCAAAGTTTCATGAAAACTGATCAAAGCGTTTTTGAGTTATTGTCCCAAAAGTGGGAAATCCCCCCTTTTTTAATGAATACAACCCCATAACTCAGAAACTTAAAATCTTAAATTTATAAAAATCGAAAGGGAAGTCACGTCAATAGATATAAACTATTCAGCAAAGTTTCATGAAAACTGCTCAAAGCGTTTTTGAGTTATTGTCCATAAACTGGGAAATCCCCCCTTTTTTAATGAATACAACCCCACAACTCGGAAACGTAAAAGCAGAAATTTATAAAAATCGAAAGGATGCTCACGTCAATAGATATAAACAATTCAGCAAAATTTAATACAAACTGGTCAAAGCGTTTTTGAGTTATTGTCCGACATTTTGACGACGGACGGACGGACAGACGGACGTACAACGGTATACCATAATACGTTCCGTAAACGGGCGTATAAAAATACAGGATATGTCATCTCGCATCATATTCCATTTTTTTAATATATATATCCAGGCTAATTTAATTTTTTATATATTATTGACTTGAGTTCCAATCCAAATGATAATTAAGCTTTCACCAGTTACATCTAAAACATACTTGATCACAAGTTTTAGTCTACCTTATATAAATTGTATATATAAGAAGTCGTCTGACAGTTTTGATTTGAATGGACAGTAGGTAGATCTCAACATTCTAAAAATTTCTGCTCCCCCATCAGATTTCCTCTATCTATAGCGGCTTTCAAGGTAATAGACCAGACTTGTATTTTATCCCCAAGTTGTATTTTTAGCCAATTCGGCCATTTTCGTTGCCAGTCGAGACAATTTTGTATACGATACCCAAATGATGACTGTGGATCAAGTAAGGTTCCAATTGGACCAGTATTTTTGAGGAGAAGATTTTTGTAAAAGTTAATGGACACCGGACGCCGGACGACGACGACAGACGACGGACGCCAAGTCACGGAGAAAGGTCAAACTGGCCCTTTTGACCAGGTGAACAAATATTGGCATTTCATTTTTTGATATTGACTTCATCAGCTCGAATATCAGCTCTCCCTAGCGAACTCGCTTGATATTATTGTTGATTAAGTCAGAATCAACAAGCATTCTCAGAGGCGGATTTAGAGGGGGGGGCCAGGGAGCCCGGGCCCCCCTTTTCTGGGAAAAATTTGGTTGATTATATAGAGAATCACTAAAGCATGACCGGAGCGGGCCCCCTCTTAGGCAGTCAGTGTGCCCCCACTTATGAAAATTTCTGGATCCGCCACTGATTCTGTGAGTATTGCATTGCAATACATAGTCCACTACCGGTTAAAAATTCATTGTATTGGAACAAAATTCTAATGTGAATTATAACTTGTCATGGTGTAAACTATATAACAAATATCAAGTTAATATCTTCAAGCATGACGAAAAAAAAAGTGTTGAAAACTGATTATTTAAGTGAATTTTCTAATTTCAAGGACCATAACTCTGCACAAAATCATCAGACCGGAACAAAATTCGAACTTGATTGTAACTTGTCATGATAAAACAATACACCAAATAACAAATCAATATCTTCAAGCATGAAGAAAAAAAGTGTGGAAAACTGATTTGCCGGACTGACGGAAGGACAGACGGACGGAGTGCAAACCTAAAGTTCCCTTCGACTTCGTCGGTAGGGGACTAAAAACAATAAAAGAACAGAGTTCCAATGTCCCCCGCGTTGCATATATTTCATCTATCCAAGGTACAAGGGCAATAACTACAAAAAGCACATTTTTTGTTTGTTCTTTAAAACTTTTAATTAATATCTTAGAGAAATGAAGGCTTCAGAGCAATGCAATATGATTTCCATTATAATTAATATTTCCAAGGGGCATAACTTGTTAGAAATATTTGATCAGCACTTATTTGGCCCGAGAACACAGTTATTTCGTAGTGCATTTCTTTTAGACAATAAATTCAAATTAAAAAAATCGCACCTGCTCTATCTCAAAAAGATTTTTACAGTGTAGTGTACTACTATTGATACAAATAATATCAAAATTATAGAAACTTCTACCAGCTCTAACTTAAAATATTGACAGTTCTGTGTTAAGGGGGGCTAAAATTCAGTTTGACAGCTTCAGACATTCTAATTTTTGACCTTTTTTAACTGGACCAAATCACTACTTAACATAAAGATTCAGCACCCAAATTTTTTTAACATGTAATTTCATCCCCTTACTTAATATTTCATGCATAAAATATCAAGAAATAAATTGGGAAAGTGTTTAAAAAAAAAATGCAAGTTATACACTGTTCACACTAGGGACTATATTTGTAGACAACGAAAACCAAAGGACGATAACTGTGTCCTTGGACCTAATAGGATAGAAAGACTTGTCCAATTTTATTAAAACTTTGCATGACCTAAGCTTAGGCAATTATAAGATAGTTGGCCAAGTTTCATGGCCATAGGATATATATTATAGAAACTAGGGCCATTTTAATATTGAAATTTGGATGTTTATTTTTGATGTTTAAATCAAATATTTTCAACTGTCAAGATTTTGGCCTAAAAAATTTAAATACTGCAAAAATTTGCTTTTTAAATACTCTTGAATTTAATATAATAAGTATTAAAAGCAACGGAACACTCATTTGATTTATCAGATTTATTACAGTTATTCAAAAGTCAAATTTATATGAGCCATGCCTGAAAATAGAGATTTTCGAATTAAGGGAAGCCTTACATAAACATGCATTTTTTTCAACCAATTTGAAGTTTTTGAAGTTTTTTAACCATACATTATTCTTCCATATATATTAAATGTACTTTAAATGTAAAGAAAAGTTACAAAAAGCATACCACATGAGTATAAAATGGTCTAAGGCCATGTAAGACTGAGAATTATTTAGAGACGATTTAGGCCGTAGCCCATATTTACATATAAAAATGCACACAGAGGCTATAAGAAATTGAAATTTGTTACTTTTTGCTCATTTCTATGCTAAGATGTCATGATACAAGAAGTCTAATTGCAAAAGGACTCTTGAATTTAAATTTTTTTGGCAGACAGTATGGTCTGATGACCAGTTTTTCACTTTTCAATGGAAAACTTGCATGTAGTTTTAGTCTCATTTGGCATATATTTGAACCACTTACTATCCTAAAGAAGAAAATTATGGTAGCATATGAAATGAATAGGGTGAACTGATCATTGTAAAGTGCTTTTTTTACAGATTTAGTGAAATATTTGTGATGGACTACAGATTTTATGTACAAAGCTCTTCACATTTCACATACATCAAACAGGCCGTTTAACCAGGGACATAAATACAAATATTCTGCACATTTTTTCTGTGATAATCTACTTTTTTCTAGATTTCGAGTTCACAAATGGTTAATTAAATTTGATTTAAGCATAGAAACACAAATATCAGGAACATAAAAAGCTGTCAGATAGAAAGTCAGCATGGCTCTTATGCATAAAATGGAAACTGCTTTAAAATGCTTATTTTAGCCGTATAATGCCAAAATGGGACATTTTAACAGAATTTCTGTCAAACAAAGATGTAAATCCTTTACTTTTATTGAATTTGACAAATTGAAACCAGCAAACCATTCAGGAAAGTTGCCAAAGTACAGAATCTACATTTACGGAATTCATCTCTTAGGCCCGAGAACACAGTTATTTCGTAGTGCATTTCTTTTAGACAATAAATTCAAATTAAAAAAATCGCACCTGCTCTATCTCAAAAAGATTTTTACAGTGTAGTGTGCTACTATTGATACAAATAATATCAAAATTATAGAAACTTCTACCAGCTCTAACTTAAAATATTGACAGTTCTGTGTTAAGGGGGGCTAAAATTCAGTTTGACAGCTTCAGACATTCTAAATTTTGACCTTTTTTAACTGGACCAAATCACTACTTAACATAAAGATTCAGCACCCAAATTTTTTTAACATGTAATTTCATCCCCTTACTTAATATTTCATGCATAAAATATCAAGAAATAAATTGGGAAAGTGTTTAAAAAAAAAATGCAAGTTATACACTGTTCACACTAGGGACTATATTTGTAGACAACGAAAACCAAAGGACGATAACTGTGTCCTTGGACCTAATAGGATAGAAAGACTTGTC